GGCTTCAGATGCTCTGTGTGTGTGTGTGTGTGTGTGTGTGTGTGTGTGTGTGAGAGAGAGAGAGAGAGAGAGAGAGAGAGAGAGAGAGAGAGAGAATGAATGAATGAATGAATGAATGAATATGAATATAGTAAATGGTGCCCAAATACTCAGCTTATAGTTTTATAATACTCTATCATCTGCTATCATTCACTTAAAGGCTATAAATAAAAACCACTGCAGGTCTTGTCATGCGAGAATTATTAAGCTCTGCAGCCTCATGTTCAAAATGAGGGATAAGGTCTGTCTGCTCTACCACAGTAGGCTCCACCTTGGAGCTTTTCCAAGGCAGGCTGAATGTGCCCAAAGAGCCCCCCATTTAACCAGCAGGTACTCTCTCCACCATCTCTCCACATGCAAGCACAAACTAGGGAACAAGTGTTTATAAACCAAGCTTGCCTTCCAAGGACAGTGTATGTGGGTGGCAGCCCTTAATTTCATGAGGCTGGGATTCTCCTATGATGTTTTGTCCAGAACTCTGACTGCTTCGGGCTTCAGATGACATCATCGTTTAAGTGTGGGGTCCACATATCCTAAAATTCTGAACCCATAAGATAGGTGTGGTAGTGCACACCTTTGATCCTAGCACTCAGGAAGCAGGGTTAGGTGGATCTCTGAGTTGGAAGCCAGCCTGATCTACAGAGTGAGTTCCAAGACAGCCAGACAGAGAAACCTTGTCTTGAAAAAAAACAAAACAAAAATGTTAACCCACAAAGCACTCTACTTAGTAATTTGCTAATCGCTTATTTCAGAATGTTCTAAGTATTGTAGCAAAGTAAGCTACTTCATTAGGGCAATTCATTTCCTACCATAAATACTATTCCAACTGTGGGAATACTACCCACCCTCTCCTCCCAGCACTTACTCTACAAACTCATGCTCTCCAAGATTTGCAAAGGTGTACCCATGGTACCCAAAGACATCTCCTGTGAAGAACTTGATGCTGTTTCTGTGACAGATCTGGTCAACTTTAACAATGACATCCCTGGAACAGCAAGTCAGGCACACCTGCAGAGAAACAGGAACTGACTGGTAAGAGCTGAAAACTGTGAATCACTGCCCTGCTGTCTACATAAATCTTAAATTAACTGTCTCTCTGGCAAGCTTAGGACCGGTTTCAACAAGTACAACAGGTTCTTTGGGTGCTATGATTATAAGACAAAAGAGAAGTTGCAGGTTTCAGGGTGTAGAAAGTGTAAATGATATGATGGCCACTTTTGACAACTAAGAGGATTTAGCTGGAAAGTAAAACCACTCAAGAATCTGTTCCCTTAATCCAAGAACACATAAACTACACTTCACAGTTCTCATGAAGACAGCAATATCAAGGTAATCTAAACTATTATCTAGTAATCTAAACTATTAGCTAATCTGTTAAAATCAAGCAAATTCTGGCGGCAAGTAAAACCAGTTTTTTAACAGACGCAAAGGTCATGTTTGAGGAAAACCTCCCCAACACACATGTAATCTTTTTTAAAAAAATTTATTTCATTTAGGTTATTTTTTACAACAAAGTTCTCTCAATGTAGCCTTACTGGCCTGGAACTCATTCTTGTAGACCAGGCCTGTCTCTACTTCCTAAGCACCAGGGCTAAAGGTACCTAATTTATTAATTATGTGTGTGATCAGATGTGGTGACACAGACTGTAATCTCGGCACACCGAAAGCAGAGACAGAAAGATCTCTGTGAGGCCAGCCTGGTCTACAAAGTGAGTTCCAGAATGGCCAGGGCTTTGTTAGAGAGCCTGTCTCAAAAACAAACAGGAAAAGCCGCATGCACTGACATAGAATTTAGCTTTTTCTTTCACCTCTGCATAGCCTTGGCACTGAGAGGAGATGAGGTTGGCTATGCCTCATTATGCTTATTATTGTAGTTACTGTCAAGTGCATGGCCAAAGTGATGATGTGTTAAAAAGGACACAGACACATCAAGATTAGATAGATGTTGGTTGTTGGTTATCTTTACTTTTTTAAGACAAAGTCAGCCAGGCATGGTGGCGTACACCTTTAATCCCAGCACTTGGGAGACAGAGGCAGGCAGATCTCTGTGTTCAAGACCAGCTTGGTCTACAGAGCAAGCTGTAGGACAATCAGGGCTGCACAGAGAAACCCTGCTCAGAACCTACCCCACAAAAGACAGAGTCTTATGTAGCCCAGGCTGGCCTCAAACTCAGTGTTGATCTATTCCATCTGCCAAATGTTGAGATTATAGGCATGTGCCACCAAGTTTGGCTAGGTATGCTCTTTCTTAACACAAAACACAAGCTGCAGCTTGATATTTCTAACAAGTAAGTGCAGCTGGCAACAAAATTAATCAACGACTTAAGTTTTTAGTAGAACACATGAGCAAAGATTCTGAAGGAAGATAAAATACTAATGCTGAAATCTAGTCTGGGGGAACATAAGCCCAAACAGAGAAGCAGCCAGTAGACAGCAGGCACCTCTCACAAACAACCACAAGAGGTCCAACAGACTGGACCTACACCGAAGCATACTTAATGTGTCAAGCCTAAAGAACACAAGTTTATAAATGTACATGAGAGGAAATTCTAGCACACCTACAGTGAATTTCTATGTAGTCCTGGCTGGCCTCAAGCTTGGAGCAGCCCTCCTTCCTGCCTCTGATCCCAAGCACTGGGGTTACAGGTGTGAACCCACAATGAGCTTCCACTACGACTTGAACTTGCTGACTCTCCCAACAGGCTTACACTAAGAGACTCACCGCATCAAACTGAGTGAAGAATGCCTCCGGCTTCTTCTCTATATCTTCAGTGTCCACCTTTACATCCACCATGGGGTTGAGATTCTGGGCACGTTCCAAAGAGGCCTCAGCCCTATTTCGGCCCACAGACCCAGTCTGAATCAAAAACTGAGCTCCAGGGTCTTCTGGAGATACCTAAGAAAAAAATTTTCTCCTTAATTCTTGAGTCTTTCTAGAATATAAATCTCAAAGACACTGAGCCTATAAGGATGCTAAAATGCCCACAACCAACTACTGTTATTGTTCCTACAGAAATCTGTCTAAGTTGGGTATGCTAACACACCTTTAATTTTAGCACTCAGGAGGCAGAGGCAGGTGGATCTCTGTGAGATCAAGGCAATCCTGATCTATAAAAGTCCAGGACAGCCAGGACTGTTACCCAGAGAAACCCAATCTAAAGAAACTGGGGGGGGGGGGGACACACGACGCACAGCTGTGCATGCCTTTAATACTGGTGCTCCAGAGGCAGAAACAGACTTCTGATTTTGAAGCCAGCCTGGTCTGCTTAGTTCCAGGACAGCCAGGGCTACACAGAGAAACCCTGTCTCAAACAAAACAAAACAAAACAAAAACAGAGATCAGCCAGCATCACTGAGGCAAAATCTTCTAGGAAGTATTTGTTCAGGGTCAGCACACAGAAGCTGTGGTCCGGAGGTGGCCAAGACCACACCTGTGCTAGCAGCCAAACTCGACAATGTGTGAGAGTCCCCCAGAGGTACTGCTTTTGAAGACATGAAGGTGTCACAGAGAGCAGAGCAGCTGAGGTACAGCAGGGTCAGAGGAGGGGCTTGTGGTGAAGGTACAGCCCAGCTGCCATAGAGATGCCAGGAACAAGGACTGTAGTAGCTATGGAATGGAGCGCCTCAAGATCTCTGAAGCCCAGAAGATCCTGAGTCAAAGAAGTCTGGCACTGAGCTTTACACTGTTGTTGGACTTTGATTTTGTTGTAACTGCACTCAGGTTTTTTCCCTCTTAGAGCGGGGAAGCATTTACTCTTTTCTTTCTTTCTTTTTTTTTTTAATTTTGCAGGAGCACACAGTTGAAGTTTGGGTATTTAAGAGAAATCTTGAAAGGTATTTTGCAAGTTTAAAGAAACTAAACTTTCAAAGTGTTTGAATTTTTAACTACCATGGGACTTTTACAAGTTGGGATGTTTAGAGAAGTTATAGTTGAACAGTGATGTTAGTTTAGTTTTTGCTTTTTTTCTTTGTCAACTTGACACAAGCTAGAATTATTTGGGAAGAGGAACTTCCAACTGAGAAAATGCCTTTATCAGAATGCTTACAGGCAGGTCTGTGGGGCATTTTCTTGATTAATGATTGATGTAGAAGGGCCCAGGTTAGTGTGGGTAGTAGCACACCTACGCAGGTGGTCCTAGATTGTATAAAAAAGCTCGCTGAGCAAGCCAGTAAGCAGTGTTCCCTACGACCTGTTTCAGTTTCTGCCTCCCGAGTTCCTGCGCTGAATTCCCTCAGTCATGGGGTGTGACCTCAGAGTTGCAAGCTGAAATATATATATAGTGTTTTCTTCCCAAGTCGCTTTTGGTCAGTGTTTACACAGCAATAGAAATTCTAAGACAGACTCCTGCTCTTCTTCCTTCTGAGGCTTTAATACTGGTCATTGATGGTTAAATAGCACCCCCTTGTGTTTACAAGAGAAACTCTCTCTAAAGTCTAATGTCTCCTTTACTTAAATTTGTTGGTGTGTGTGTGTGTGTGTGTGTGTGTGTGTGTGTGTGTGTGTGTGTGTGTGTTTCAAG